TCCTGGTATTATTCATGCCCTGTGTGATCCCCTGCCCTTGAATATGGACTGGCCTAGCAACTTGATAATAATGAACACAACACCGCAAAAGTGATGGGATGTTACTTCCCTCATTATGTTACATAATATCGTAACTTCCATTTGCTAGCAGATCCTCTCCCTTGTTGGCTTTGAGGGAAACAAGTTTCCATGTTGTGAGCAACTTGTTGGAGAAGCCACATGGCAAAGAACTGAGGGCAGCCTCCAGCCCATGCCATCAGGAACTGAAGCCCACAAGGAGCTGAATTCTTCCAGCACTGCATATGTGAGTTCCTGCCCTTTGTGAGTCTTCAGATGAGATCTAAGCATTGGCCAACTCTGTGATTGCAGCTTATGAGAGAACCTGCAGCTTGTGAAGACCAACCAAACCATACCAGACTTCCACAGAGGCTATAAGATAAATAAATGTGGGTTGTTTTAAGCCGCTACATTTGTGTTAATTTGGTGCATAGCAATAAATAGATAGCTAAATTACTATCTCTTTGAATCTGTTAAAAATTAACATTGATAGAAACCATAACTAAAGCTTGGGGAAAAAAATTAACTCTGAAAAAGTTAAATTCATCATGGACATTCTTGTAGCAGATTTCAGTATTTTAATTTATTAAATATATGCTTTACTGTGTATTAACACTAAATACCCTGTAGGCATTATCCAGAGCTTTGTGTCAGTTGTTTTAACAGACTACTGTCTTGCCAGACTAATTTTTTGTGTAGATGGGGTCTTGCTATGTTGCCTAGGCTAGTCTCAAACTCCTGGGCTTAAGTGATCCTCCCAAAGTGCTGGGATTACAGGCATGAGGTATCACGCCCAGCCCTTTCAAAGAATTTTGACTCGTTTTTGAAAAGCAATTTAAAGAGTGATGATTAAATAGTAATTGCTAATATCAAGAAATGTTTAGGGCTAAATACCTGAGCTAGACATAGGCATAGACCAAAAAACAAACAGGAAGATATGCAAAATCAGGTCAAAACAAAGCAACAAATATCTCACCACTCACAAGAACATCAGCACCCTCTGAGGTGTTCTTTTAGTTTAGGGAAACAAAAGACCCTCTGCTTCTGTTTCTTATCTAGCAAGCCTAAGTTGCCAGCCACAGAGTTCCTTGACTAATGCAGGCCAGTGCCTCCAGAAATTGGATTGGGCCAAAGGCAGATCTTGACTCAGTAGGTCTGGGTTGGGGCCTGAGACTCTGCATTGCTCCCAGGTCATGCATGGTCTAGGGCCACACTTTGAGGGCTGACGCTGTGCCCAATTCTGCCCGTGAGCAGCCTGCTGCCTAGCTGCCCTCATGTCACCCTCACCACATCCTTCTTCCTCAGCCTCCTTTTCCACGCAATTCTACACCTAAATTAGGGTTGTCAGGCATTTACCATTTAACTGAGCAGTCTCACATTTTCTCACACTTTCTCTAAGAAAGTTAGGGTTAAAAAAAAAGATCCTGAGTGTCCTTTTTTCAGTAATGACAAATGCCCTCATAGTGTATCAGAGTGTTTTAGGAATGGACCTCAGTTTACCCAAACTTCTCTGGCTCATGCTGCCAGAACAGTGCTTCTGGAGGGTCTCCAGAGAAGAGAGACTGTGCCAAGGAGCAGGCACCTGCATAGTTCTAGAAGGAATGGTGTCACAAGCATTCCCCGGCCTTTGAAGACTTCTCTCAACTAATACCTAAGGCTTGTCCTGGAGTAACTCTAAACTTGGGTGAAATAATTCAATGCAAATATTGTTAAGAATTCACTTTCATAAAAGCCTGCCCTTTTGAGGGGTGGGAGAGATATACATTTACAAAAGATTCCTCCTTCTAGAACTAAGCATTATACTCCCCAAATGTCCTTCATTCAGCCTTGATAAAGATTAAGTTGAGACCTAAGACCACCAGCTTTTGTAGCAGGATCTTCAAGAGGATCCAGCTACTTTTGAAAATGCAGAGTCCTGAGGCAACACATCACCTTATTAGATAAACAAGGAAGATTGAGTATTGGTATATGTGAGCTGTTGTTTGTTTTAGTTCTAATGCATTTATTTTGTATCTTGTCATAAAATTGAGATTCTACGTTTTTGCTAAGTAAACAAGTAATAATGAAAGATTTATTTTAATAGCTCTGAGGACTATTGACTTTTTGAAACTCTATTTGTCATAGGAAACTATTTGCTAAAACGTTTGCTGTAGGGAGCTGTTTATAAACTCTGTTGAAGAAGGTTGATTTATGCACTACCTTGGGGTGCTGATCACCTCCCTGATCTGGTTCTGATTAATTCATCTGGTTTAAATGGCTCTGAAAACCTCCTCAGAAATAGGAGTACAGCTAAAAGCATTCACTGGTGTAAAAAGGTTATTATGCAAGTAAAATAAATAGTTGATGCTAACAATAGCTTTAAAACACAAAGCAAAATCTTGGTTTTTTTCGTGGCACAATGTCCAGTTCTTCAGGAAATCTTGTCTTCTTCTTGAACCCTTATTTCTAATGCCCGATTCATAGGTATCTTGCTGTGTAACCAATTACTCTGAAACTTAGTGGCTTGAATCAGCAAATATGCATCATCTCAGATTCTGTCAGGAATCTGGGTGCAGCTTAGCTGGGTTCTTCTGCTGCAGAGTCTCATAAGGCTACGATCAGTAAGTCTTGTGGTGCTGTGGTCTCATCTGAAAGCTCAGTGAGGGAGTATCCTCTTCTGGGTTCACTCACGTAGTTGTTGGCAGGATGTAGTTCCTCACAGGTTTTGGCCAAAGCCTTCCCTCTGTTCCTTGCCACATTGGCCTCTCTGTAGGGTTATTTACAACATAACAGCTTTTTACCTCCAGAGCAAGGGCTCTGAGAGACAGAAAGGCAGGAGGGGAGAGAGAGAAACAGGGAGATGAAAGTCACGGTCTTTTTATAGTCTGCTTTTTGGAGGGACATCCCGTCACTGTATTTTATTTATTAGAAGCAGGTCGTTAGGTTCCACCCACACTCAAGGGGAAGGGGGTTGTACAAGGATGAGAATGTCAGGAGGCAGGGATCTTTGGGGGCTTAGAGTCTTCCTGCCTTTCATAGTAAGTGCTCAGTAAATGAGAGTTGAATCACTCAGTGCCTGCTGGATGGGCTTTCTCACTGTCCTCAGTGAATGAATAAACCAGGGTTCATGCAGTCCTTGTTCATGCAGACTGAGTCCTGGCCTATTGTGATTTGATCGAATATCTGTGCTGTAGGTCAAAGACTATAGGTGGGTTAATGTGCATTTATAGTTTGATTTATAAAGTGTGTAAAGGTATTTTTGTTTGTTCACTTGTTTTTCTTTCTAATTCTGGGGGAGAAAAAATTAAGAAGGGCAAGGAGGCCTGAAGCCATGGTCCACTCTAAGATACTAATAAATTCCGTAAGGTGGGTGGGAGGGTGGCCATGGAATTTAAAAGGTTACCACTGGCTCTTTCTTGCCATTTAGGTCTCAGCTTAAATGTCACCACCTCACAGAGGCCTTTCCTGTCCATCCAATTTAAACTAACCATTGCTTCACTCTTAATCTGCATAGCCCTTAGCACTCTGTGACTTTCTTCCCTGCTTATTTATTTGTTTATTGTCTCTTTCCCCCAACAACAACTAAGAACTTGGAGAGCGGGGACAGCTGTCTTGGTCACCCTCATATCATGAGCACCTCACACGGGGCCTGGCAAACCATAGACTCTCAGTAGATATTTACTGAATAGACAAATTAATCAAACACGTGGACATGAATTGATTCCAAAGAGCTTTTTGGAAATTATAATATTGTTATGTCTTCCAAAGGAAATGCCATTTATTCCGTTAATGTGCATAATACATTAATTTATTAAAAAGGAAAAAAAAAACAGCCTCAAGATTATGGGATAGTTTTGTCCCTTCCACTAAGTGCTGGAGGGCCATCTGGCAAATCAAGTCACTTCTGAGCCTCACATATCCTCAGAAAATATATATGAGGGAGCTGAAGACTAGAGGTCCTCAGGCTGTGCTCTGTCCATCACCAGATCCATCGCAACAGTGCAAGCTCCAGATGCTACTCTGTAAGAGCTGCTCTGGTTTTCATGTTTTCAACATTGGTTGGCCACATAAGATTATGCTCAGAGAAGGGATTCTGTCACCAGAAAAAAAAAAAAAAATTGAAACCCACATGGCTTCCACACCCACTAATAGCCATTTTGGCTCTGCCTAAGCAGGCTCCCATGTCAGTTCTGGCATGAAAGGGTAGAGACCTGAGACCCGCAAAGCCTCTGCCCAGCAGAGCCTATTGGAATAGAAGCCGAATGATTTCAGGTGACCTAGATCCCCTTCCAAGAACATGAAGCGTTCCCTCCCCGCCTCCAACCTCACACCTCGCTGATGCCCACATCATGCTGCCTTTGAAATGTTAGCATCAATTTTTCTTGTTGTTTTTTTTTTTTTCACATTGACTTACTCATTTCAAGATTTCATTTCTGTTATTGCAGTTCCCACTAGATAGCCAGAGCTTCTGAGTGCCAAGTTTTATAATTAAAATTCTGTCACATCCCCCAAAACATTGGAAATGGTACCATGAAACCTAGCAGAAAAGATTTATAAGTACTTCACCTAGTAATTTAAATATAATACTTCTGGCAGCATTCAGTTTTGGGGGTTTTTAATTCTAATTAAAAACCTTTTATTGAACATGAATATCCTCTATACCATATTCTGCTGATGCTCTATGCTTCCTTTTGGCCATCTAGCTTGTAAATAAACAGCTTGGTTGCATGGCAGGAGCAGCTCATGTGGATTTTCCTGGCCTCTGGGAATCATCAGTTCCCAGGCATAATTAGTATAAATCAAAATCCTCTAGACTATGACAGGAAAATGGTATGTTTGGACAGCAGCTTATTAAAATGACCTACTTAATTTAAGAAAAATGTTATATCTACTTGCATGGTAACCTGATTGCTTTCTATGACAGATTTTGCAACATCTCTCTCTCTCTCTCTCTCTTTTTAAAGAAAAGGAAAGAGAATGGAAAGGTCCGTTCTACTTCATTCAAGGTGCAGACCCACAGTTTGGCTTGATGAAGGCCTGGTCCACCGGGGACTGTGACAGTGGTGGTGACGAATGGGAACAGGAGATCCGTCTAACTGAGCAAGCTGTCCAGGCCATCAATAAGCTGAACCCCAAGCCCAAATTCTTTGTTCTGTGTGGCGATCTCATTCATGCCATGCCAGGTAAGACTTGGATTATTGCTTGTGACCTCTTTTTCTTCAGCCAGTCATGACCACATTTGGGCAGGAAAAAAAAAAGCTGGGCTTGATGGCCTATGCCTGTAATCCCAGCACCTTGGGAGACTGAGGGGTAAGGATCACTTGAGCCCAGGAGTTTGAGACCAGCCTGGGCAACATAACAAGACCCTGTCACTACCAAAAAAAAATTAACCAGGCATGGTGGCACTTGCCTGTAGTCCTAACTACTCGGGACGCTGAGGTGGGAGGATCTCTTGAGTTCAGCATGTCGAGGCTGTGGTAAGCCAAGACTGTGCCGCTGCACTCCAGCCTAGGTGACAGAGTAAGACCTCAACTCAAAAAAAAGAAAAGATTTTGCTCCAAAGGGACCTTTATTCAGTAACGGCCCATTCTTTCTTGTCATGATTGTTGCAGTATCATTGAACATCAGAAAGTGCACACTCATTTTATATTTAGAGTTTGATGAGACTAATCACAGTAATTAGGCAGAGCTGCAGTTCTGATGATCAGAGCTTAATATGAAAAATGGAACAGATTCCCACGCGTCACCTTTTTGCATTTCCAGGGACAAACTTGAGCTGCTTCCAGATACTATATTCATAAATGTAATTTTCTCATTTCTTTCTTCTTACACTTTTATTTCTCTTGCATTTGTTGGTCTTTTTTGGTTGCAAGTGACAGAAATCCAACCTAAACTAGAATTTTTTTTTTAAGGTATATGTTACCTCATGGGACTGTGAAGTCCAGGGACAGATCTGGGTTTTGGATACAACTGGATTCAGGGTCTCAGCAGTTGTTATTAGGACTTGATCTCTCCATCACTCAGCTCTGCTTTCCTCCGGGTTGATTGTATTTGCATGCAGGCTCTCTCTAGATAGTGGCTCCTGGGAGCTCTAGATTTATGTCCTTTTTATAGAAGCCACAATAGAAAGAAAGTGCCTTATTCTTGATGGTCTAAAGTATCAGACCAACACTCATCTTGCTCATGTGGCTCCCCTGCAGCCAGAATGTGGGGTCATCTCTGCTGCAACCATGTGGCCTGAAAGATAGGATGGTTCCCCTTAAAAAAGTGAGATGCTGGAAATGTACAGTAACAGATGTTTTTTAGAATTGTTTTTCTTTTTTTCCTGCTTCTCTGATATCTTTCCCTCCCAGGCAAGGATAAAGCCCAGTGAGCAAGTATAAGCAAATGGAAAGTGCCCCTGCACCTCCCACAGCCACCTCTGCCCCTTACTTGTGCCCTGTCCCTGCTTAGTGGGACAGAGGTGACCTGAAGACCATTGCAGAAAATGCAGCAATGTCTGTGGGTATCTGTTTTTGGTTCACTCTACCTCAAAAACCAAGACTCTGAGTCCTACTAGGATGCCTAACTCCTTAGGAAGCCGAGGCACCCTGCAGTTAGGCTGGGCGCATTAGAGACTTGTTAGTCTGGCAGCCCACATATTCAGAACAAAATCCAGAATGAATATGTGAGAATGGAGAAAGCTAGCTTAGAATTGCTCTCCCTAAAGTCCAGGGAGTGTACCCAGGAGAGAAAATCCTGAGATCCCCGCCCCCCATTCTCTCCTTACTCTTATCTTACACAGAGGCATGCATTGACTTGGACCTGGTAGAACTCTGGGATGTCCTCCCTGATGAAGCAGCTGTTCTGGTAGGTGGCAGGACTGACAAGAGGGAATATGAAAGCAGTAGACACAGACCTGAATTAGATCTCAGGTGGCAGGGATGCCAGCCACCATTGGCCACTGATGCACTGAGTGAGCATGGAGAAACCCATCTTCTTAGGACCTCAGGTTCTGAGCAAGAACCCAGTGAAGCAGCAAGAACTTAAGACCTCAACATTCTGGGGCTACATAGTACAGGGACAAAAAACGCCAGATCTTTGTGAACCAATGGTGAACATCTCAGCAGCTTGGTATAGAAACATATTCACAAGGATGACCTTGAACTTTGTTTCATTGAGAGGTAAAATCTTAACTACTTGTAAACTTGACCACACCTCGTGACCCAAAGGCTCCTAAGTGTCGAGATGGTATCATACTGAAATGACTACAGTCGGCTCCTAAAGGAGTTAGAAATCATTGCAGGACTCAGTTTCTCACGTAAAAATAAATAAATAAATAAATAAAACCAAGGTTGTATGTTGACTGAACAGATTCATGCTATTTCCAAATAGAGCTGCTCTCAGTTCGCCATTTTCCTTAGGCTCATCTGGCCCTGTTTGCATTGCAACTAGAGTACACACTCTGGACCACACAATGAGCAAACAACTGCTCTTACTGGACCCATGAAAATAAGATTTCAAATTCAACATTTTTCTGTTGAAAATGGTTTCTTCTCTGTATTTTATTTTATTCTTTTTTAGAAGCAGGTTCTCACTCTGTCACCCAGGCTGGAGTGCAGTGGCGCTATCATAGCTCACTATAGCCCCAAACTCTTGGGCTCAAGCCCTCCTCCCACTTCAGCCTCCCAAGTAGCTGGCACTCCAGGCTCACGACCACCATGCCTGCCTAATTTTTGCTTGTATTTTTTATAGAGGCAAGGTTGCCCAGGTTGGTCTTGAACTCCTAACCTCAACAAATCTTCCTTCCTCAGTCTCCCAAAGTTCTGGGATTACAGGTGTGAACTACCACGACTGGCAGTTTCTTCTCTTTAAAAACAGAATATTATGGGACTCACTAGAATTATATAACTTGTTCTTGCAGATGTTTACCAACTTGCTCTGAATTCTGTTAATGTATTCAGTCATATTTGAAAACCAAATTTAAAACAAAAGCTTTTCATGTGATCACATTGCTTCTTAAATAAAATATGCTGAGCATGAATTAAACATTGTTAATGAAAATAAATGGTTTTTATGATCAGCCCTACCATTTGGTCAAAAACACTTTTGTGAATGTGAATTGGCAAACTTTTGAACCTGTATTTTATATTCAGTGCGACTCAAGCAGAATTCATAATCTATTCTGAAGATTTGGATGTTTTGTGGGATTTTAACTGAGCCAGTGAAAGGGCTGTAACTATTTTGAATATTGTGGTCTGAGATTAAACAGAACATTTTAAAAATATTTACCATTTTTTAATATGCATTAAGTGACTTCCCTCTCATTTATTCAAGGATAGACGCTTAGAAAAGTAATTATTAGCTGGGCTCAGTGGCTCAGCCTATAATCCCGTGCCTTTGGGAGGCTGAGGTGAGTGGATTGCCTGAGCCCGCGGGTTCAAGACCCACCTGGGCAGCAAGACCTCATCTCTACAATAAATCAAAAATCAGCTGGGCGTGGTAGTGCATCCTGGCTACTTGGAAGGATGAAAGGATCGCCGGAGCCCAGCAGGTCGAGGCTGCGGTGGCCGGGAGTGACCACTGCACTCCAGTCTGGGCGACAGAGTGAGACTCCAACTCAAAAAAAAAAAGAAAAGTAATTATTTGCTCTGTTTGGCACATTGTTAATGATCAAATTCATATATTACTAGGTAAATAAAATCAGAAAGCATACTGTTATTTCTGCCATAAGTAATATTTTGGGTCAGGTAGATTTAAGATGAAAGTGGAGGAAAAGAACTTCCAGAGTGATACTTTACTAAATGAAGTAATAATAAACATTTCCATTACAAATATCAAGCATAGTATTTGTTCATCCACAGTTATTTATTGTGTACACACTAAGCGCCAGTGATAGCACTAGATGCTTTGGATATAACAGTGGACATGAGATACTAGGTCCTTCTGTGAAGCTAGAGTCTGGTGAGGAAAGCATGGATGGTAAGAGAGATCTCCCACAGGAAAAACCCTAAGAAATGCAAGCTTCTTTGTTTCAAAGTCCATTTAGTTTTGAAGTATGTTTTCATTATGCAGACATCTTTTTGGTTACCTTGGTATTTTCTTATTTTATAAAGCTTCTCTATAGGATACGCCACATTGTAAGTTGCAAATGAAGATTTGTACAAGTATTGAGACTATTGATTTTCATCCTTCACTCTTAAGCCCAGGGTTACTTTCATCAGTCCTACTGACATTGAGGCTTCGACCCACTGACTTTGTACCCCAGAGCCTTGTTAGATTTCAACAATTACATGGAGAGCTGACAAATCAGAATGTGCTGATACAATTAGAGTGCAAGAGATTCCTTTGAGCCTTTAAAGTCATTTGTTAATAACACACATTTGTCCATACCTGTTTATTATAACTTGCCATAACCATACAAAACAGATAATACAGGGCGAATTCCTCCCTTGATACAAAGTCTCCTTGAAGAGTTCTTTATGTATTGACCTCTTCTTGACCGACTATTACCTGATTTAGTTTCAGATGATGTTTTAGCCTCAAGAGTTCCCCTGTTCTATAGAGGCAGGCAAACCTGCATTAGCTGAATCCAGGCTAATGGTATATTAGTTGCCTATTGCTTCTGTAACAAATTTCCACAAACTTACTGGCTTCAAACAGCACGTGTTTATTCTCTTATAGTTCTGGAGGTCAGCATCTGCTGGGGTGTATTCCTTCTAGAAGTTTCAGTTTCTAGAGGCTGCTTGCATTACCTGGCTCTTGCCCCATCCTGTCTTCAAAGCCAGCAGTATTGCTTCTTCTCTCTAACTTCTGCTCTATCGTCTCATATTCTCTCTCTTACTCTGACTCTCCTGTTTTCCTCTTATAAAGGCCCTGGTGATTGTATTAGGCCCATCCATATAACCCAGGATAATCTCTCCCCCTCATGATCCTTAACTTAATCACATCTGCAAATTCTCCTTTGCTATATGAGGTAACATATTCACAAGAACCAGGAGTTAGGTTGCTGAACATCTTTGGAGGGACATTTTTCAGCCTACTGCAGATGGCATGGGATGGAATTCAGGGTCTGTTATCTGCCAGGAACTGTGCTATTAGCTCACCTACTCATCACAGTCTTGCAAAGGAGGTGTCATTGTTATTTCCATTTTACCTGATGGAGGAACTGGCTCAGAACAGTGAATGACTTTTCCCAAGGCCA